AAGAGAAGGCTGAGGGGGGATCTAGTGGCCTGTTATAAACTAGTCAGGGGGGATCAGCAGGCATTGGGGGAGTCACTGTTCCCCTGAGCACTGCCAGGAGTGACCAGGAATAACGGTCACAAGCTGGCAGAAGGTAGGTTTAGGCTAGATATCAGGAGGCACTACTTCACGGTCAGGGCGGCTAGGATCTGGAACCAACTTCCAAGAGAAGTGGTGCAGGCTCATACCCTGTGGGTTTTTAAGAGGAGGTTAGATGAACACCTTGCTGGGGTCATTTTACCCCAGTACTCTTTCCTGCCATGGCAGGGGGTTAGACTAGATGATCTACTCAGGTCCCTTCTGACCCTAGAAACTATGAAATTATGAAACTATGAAATAAAATACAAAAACTAGGTTTGGAAAAAGTTAAATATATCTCAATGCACCAATGACATAATACAAGCCATTTGTCCTTTCCTGAATTTTATTAGTTTGTATTGCAGTCCTAATTGAAATGTTTCTTTCCCTTGGATTTTATAACTTATTTGGAGGGATAAATTTACTAAGATCCTCAGCTGCAGTAAGCAGAACCCAAATAACCATGGACATTTTTGCCTTTTAGTGATTCTCGGCATTGACAACAGAATTTTATCATGAATAGAATTTATCATGCTTTGTATTATTTCATAAGGGTCTGAAATTCATATTTTTGATATCCTAAGTGTGATTAGAATTCAGTGCCCAATGTGAAGGGCAAAGATGGAAGAGTTTTCATAAAATAGATTTTCATTATAAGCATGAAAGCCCTAATATTTATTTGATTTCTTTTTTTTTTTGCGAAGCTGAAATGTCTAAGTGCTAGCACATTCTCCTCTTCTGATATGTGCAGCAAAAAAAATTACTACTACTGTTGCTGATCAAAATAAACCAAATCAGCATACCCACCCCTATGTCTAATTAGAAAGAAATTCATTAGTTACATTTATAAAATTCTTTACATTGTATGCTTAATTTAGGCCAGAATTTACTCCAGCTTCACTTTATGCCAATTTGAGAAAGAAAGATGTCAGCCCTTATATATTCCTACCTGTCAAATACTTTGGCACAACCAGTGCTGTACACATGTTGACTGAACACTGACCAATAGTCTTGTAGTCCCAAAAGCACTGGGATATAAACCTCAAGCAAAATGCCTAACACCAAAAGAATAATATAGGCTCATATGTAAGTCTAGGACACCTCAACATTGAAGCCCTCTCACCTCTTACTTGTTCAAAGTATTATGTGAACAGAACATCAAAAAGAAAGGGGAGGGGGAAAGAAATACTGTCTTCCAGGATTTCAAACGGGGCTAAGCCAGCCAGCATCATGCAAAACATGGACCGGCATTTTTTGAGTTGAGACCACTAATATCTATAAGAAACTAAATATCATCTGACTTATACCAATTCTAGCAAATTAGTCACCCATCGATGTGCATCTGAGACTTTAATAGCCATTTTACATCCTTGGGATAAGATGACAATGATACTGTAACAGGCAACTTATCAAATGGGTCTGGATCCAAGAATAAGTGCCTTCTGTTCAGTTCTAAGTAGTCAGGAGGCTTTCATTCCAAAAGATGGAGAAAAGTCTGCGCCAGGGGCAAATGGTGCCTCTCGATTGCCAACTGGGGGGGGCGTCCCCCCAGTGGCAGATTGCTG